TAGAACTCCTCCTGCCTATCCTCAAGGACGTCCGTGCTAAGAGCACACTCACCCCCGACGGACGGAGGACAGACAGACTCAGACTCAGCAACAAGACTAGCAGCGTAGTCTAGACGAGAGCGAGTAGCAAAGTCGACAAGCTCAAAAACTAAGGCAGACGCAGCAGTGGACTCAAAGGAAGGGTCAGTGACAATACTAGCCAGGAGACGCGTGATAGTAGGACTGGCAGCACGAAGCGAGTCAGACTCCGGGTCAGCAAGAGAAGGAAGAGAGGACTCTGGAGGAGACGGCAACGAGACATGCAGAGGAGCGGTGGAAGGACGCAGTGCCATCTAGTGTGTGGCTGGGACCGCAGGAGGACGCAGACACGGAGCACGACGACTAGTGCGAGCAGAACGAACAGGCAACGCAGGACGAGACGCAGGCTCACGACGCTCAAGAAGCACTCCAGTAGGACCAGTGTAGGGAGAACGAGCATGCAGGGGGGAGACGAGCTGTAACTGTGACCGCGACTGGACAGGCTGTGGACACTCTAAGGGAGGAGCAGGACCAGTAGAGGGCGGGAGACCAAGAACCTGCTCAAAGAGCGGAACGAAGTACGGCCGCGGCCGCGCAGTGCCTCTAGAACCAGCACGGACAGCTCCAGTACCCTCAGCGGCAGTACCAGCGTCAGCAGCACTTCCAACTCCAACAGCACCAACTCCAGCACCCTCAGACGCACCATCGCCAAAACCCTCAGTAGCTCCAGCTCCAAGAGCTCCAGCAGCTCCAGCTCCAGCAGGACCGTCACCTCCAGTGTCGCTAGCAGCTCCAGCAATACCTCCAGCAGGACCAACTCCAGCAGCCCCAGTAGCACCCCTAGTCCTAGCAGCTCCAGTACTGCGAGTACGAGCACCTATACCATGTGAAAGAACGAGGAATGAATGAACTAGCAAGCAGGTGGGTACAAGTAGGAAAACCTAAATGTGTTGTACCCCATATTGTCTACCCCAGTTCAGCCTACACAGACTATAGCATATGAGTTTGACACCGCCACCGGGGCTGCCCCACCGGACAGCCCACTCACGAAGCTGCTGTGGGGAGAGAGTCTCCGACAGACGCTGTTGCCGCTGCTGTCCACCCGGAGAACCTCCGCGTCTATCAGCGGCACTACCAGCAGGATAAGACTCAGAGGGACCTCCAGTAGTAGCACACCCAGCTCCGCCACCAGGGCTGCCCCACCGGACAGCCCTCTTGCGAAGTTGCTGCGACGAGAGCGGCTCCCGCCGACGAGTACGAGGACTGCCAGCACCAGCACCTCCAGCCCTAGCACGGCTAGCTCCGCCAGATAGCCCACTCACGAAGCTGCTGCGGCAAGAGAGACTCCTGCACACTCGGCTGTCGCTGATGTAGGACAGTGGTAGTAGCCATGGCAGGCAGTGGCAGCTAATAGCAGTAGCTGCGTAGTAGGTTTAGCACAGGCGGCAGTAGCAGCGTAGTAGCACCTAGGGCGGTAGTAGCAAGTGCTAGCACCTAGGGCAGTACCACGCAGTAGCTCCTAGGGCAGCAGCACCTAAGGCTTCGCAAGGCGCGCTCGGCACGGGGCAGCAGGGCACGCTAGCGCGCCGGGCAATGGGGCGCTGGCGCGCTGAGCAGCGGGGCGTGCTGGCGCGCTAGGTAGCGGGGCGCGCTGGCGTGCTGGGCAGCGGGGCGCGCAGGCGCGTTTGGCAGCGGGGCGCACTGGCGCAATGGGCAGCGGGGCTCGCTGGCACGTCTGGCAACGGGGCGCGCTGACGCGCTGGGCAGCGAGGCGCTCTGGGCAACGAGGCGCACTGACCATTGATCCTGCGCCCATAACCCCCCAGGCGAACGCGCCTGTAACCCTCTCCAGGATCAATCGGGCATCCACAGTGCAGATCTACTAACACCCCCCCACACTGGGAGGCCCAGGACTAAGCACAGTGGCAACGGCCTACATGTGCATACACCGGGATTCGAACCCGAGACCGCTCTGATACCATGTGAAAACGAGAACGAGAATGGATCAACTATGAAAGAAGTGGGTACAAGTACTAACCCTAATTGGGTTGTACCACATATGGGATACCCCACTATAGCCTACACAAAAGCATAAGCTATGATGTTCTGACAACCTAAAGTATTGTACTCTTAGAAGGCAACTCACTGTAGCCTATCTAACAATATATAGAATATAAAAACATTTGACACACCTCCATAGTGATGAGAAACGAGGACGAAATGTATAGAGCAGAAAGGGGAGTACAAGTAGGAAACCCTAAAGTGTTGTACCCCATATGAACTACCCCACTACAGCCTACACAGACTATAACATATATGCCCAACACACCCCCATAGGCAAAGTGGGGGAGAACAAGGGGTCACAAGACCAGTGAAGCAAAACAGAACAAGCTCAGGGTGGATCAAAATGTCACCGCATAGTCCGAGCACAAGAGCAAGGCCACAAGGCCAGTTCACATGCAAGATCATATATATAAAGGTAAACAAGCAAGTGCAGGTATAGAAAGAGTACAGTACAAGCAAGGTCAAGAAGTGAGCAAGTGAGGCCAAGTAGGCACAACACCTAGCAAAGTACACAAGCGCTGATGATTACAAGGCGGAAGGGCCTTGGTGAAGACATCAGTAGTGTTAGCCTCAGAGGCCACGTAGGTGAGGCGGAGCTGACCATGCTGCTGCAGCTTACGAGCCAGGAAGTAGCGGAGAGCAATGTGCTTCGTTCTGTGCTCCAATCTGTGCTCCCAACACAAGGCCAGCATGGCCTTATTGTCTACGTACAGAACTGGAGGAGAACGAGGTGGCTCTCCTAGGTCAGTCAGCAGGTAGGTGAGCCAGTGTAGCTCCTGTGCAGCCATGGCCCCTGCGTAGATCTCAGCCTCACAGCTGGAGGTGAGAACAGAAGACGAGCAGGTAGACCGCCACGAAACAGAGCCGGAGCCAAGGATGAAGGTGTAACCCTATGACGACCGCTGCAGAGCCTGGTCGTCAGCCCAAGAAGCTTCAGCATGACCTGTGAGGACCACTCGACGTCGCCCTCCAAGCACTAGCCCCATGCCCGACGTACTGCACACATAGCGCAACACTCTCTTCGCTGCAGCCATGTGCTCTGGTCGGTGTCTCCTAGGAGCAACATAGTGTGCCAAGATGCTAAGAGGGTATGCAAGGTCAGGTCGTGTGCAGGTCATCAGGTAGATGAGGCAGCCAACAAGCCGAAGCGCTGGAGGACCTGCTGCACCATGTGTGACTGAGTCAGGGTAACGGTGCGCTGTGCTCTGTCCCGGGTGATCTGCAAGCCAAGGTAGCTGCGCAGTTCACCCAGGTCTGTGCACGTGTGTCTCTTCAGGAGCTCAGACTTCACGTGGGCGAGTCCAGCAGTGTCAGCAGTGGCAAAGACCAAGTCGTCGATGTACACGAGGATGTAGAACGACGGCAAAGAGGTGTCAGTGCACAAAAACAGCGACGGGTCGGCTGTAGAAGGAGCAAACCCAAGAGCCGAGAGTGTAGTCCTCAGTGTGTCGTGCCACTCACGGGGCGCCTGGCGGAGACCGTAGAATGGCCGCCTGAGGCTCCACTTGGTACCAGGAGGAAACGACCCAGTGAAGCCAGGTGGGCGGCGCAGCCAGATCTCCTCGTGCAGGCTGCCCTGCAGGAAAGCAGTACTAAAGTCAAGAGAGTGAAGCTCGTAGTCGCGCTGAGCAGCTATGTGCAGCAGCACCCGAAGAGTGGTCATCTTCGGGGTGGTCACACTATGCCTGACACATAGGTTATGTAAGGGGCATCAAAACAACCTAAGGAAACAATGGGCTACAAGACGAGTCAAGAACAAGCATCAAAACAAAGCTCAGGGTGGTGCTCAGAGTCACCACACACTCCGAGCATAAGTAAGTGGCTACAAGGCCATTTCAAGAGTTTACTAGTATATATAGAAACACAACAAGCAGAGCAAACAACAATTCCACCGCACCTGAGGGCCTACCTCAAGAAGCCTCAACTGCACACAAAATTTGTGGTAGTCACCAGGTGCCAAGGCCTTGGTGAAGACGTCGGCAGTGTTTGTCAAACTCCTACACTGTAGTCTGTCTAGGCTGTAGTGGGGTAGACACTATAGGGTAAAACACTTCTAGGTTTCCTACTTGTACCCAACTGCTTTCTAGTTCATTCATTCCTCATTCTTCACATGGTATAGAGCACGTTCCCTAGTGGGAACGCTTCCTTGGGCCCACCACTGAAATTTTCCTTTCTGACCGAACGCCAGTCGCTCCTGCCCGAGGTGCGCCTTTTTCGCCGTCCTTTCCAGGCCCCTAGTGGCCTTAAGCGGCCTCGTCGCCGCCCCCCACGCGGCCTCGTTGCCGCCCCTAGCGGCCCCGTCGCCGCCTCTCACCCTACGCGGCCCCGTCCCCGCCGCTACGCGGCCTTGTCGCCGCCCCTACGCGGCCCCGTCGCCGCCATTAGCGGCCCCATCGCCGCCCCTAGCGACCCCGTCGTCGCCTCTCACCCTACGCGGCCCCGTCGCCGCCCCTACGCGGCCCCGTCGCCACCCCTAGCGGCCCCGTCGCCGCCCCTATCGGCCCCGTCGCCGCCCCTAGCGGCCTCGTCGCCGCCTCTCACCCTACGCGGCCCCGTCGCTGCCCCTAAGCGGCCCCGCTGCCGCCCCTAAGCGGCCCCGTCGCCGCCCCTAAGCGGCCCCGTTGCCGCCCCTACGCGGCCCCGTCGCCGCCCCTAGCGGCCCCAACGCCGCCTCTATCGAGCAGCCCAGCAGCTGAGCCGCTCACACAGAGCCGTAGAGCCGCCCACCAGCCGAGCCGCCAAGCCGCCCAGCAACCGAGCCGCCCGACAGCCGAGCCGCCCGACAGCTGAGCCGCCCAGCAGGCGAGCCGCTGAGCCGCCGAGCCGCCGTGCCGTCGAGCCGCTACTAGTCCTACCGGCGCGCCCCGGCCCTACTTACTCGGATTGGTGAGCTCACTCCTTGCTAGGCCACTGCAGTCATGGCTACCCCCAGTGTTCTTACCTTTGATACTGAGGGTCTAGCTGTTGACTTTGAGGTCTGGGTCGATGACCTACAGCTGTTCCTACAGTGCGATAGGGCAGACGACCTCTCCCTGTTCGACCTCACCTCTTGTGCCTCCCCTGCCCCGCTTGCTATTGCTGACAAAACTGTTTGCTCACAGTGGGTGACACGCGATGCTGCTGCTCGTCTTGCTGTGCGTCGCCACTTACCGACCACTGAGCGTGCGCACTTTAGCCAGTACAAGAGTGCACAGACCTTGTACAACGCTACAGTTGCACGCTACTCTTCCCCTGCCACTGCTGCACTGAGCCGCCTCATGCTACCGTACCTCTTCCCTGACCTTGCTGCCTTTCCCACAGTCGCTAACCTCATTACGCACCTCCGCACTAGTGACACTCGCTACCGCGCTGCGCTTCGTGCTGAGTTCTGCGCCAAGAACCCTCCCCCCCATGTACATCACCCTCTACTATATAGTCACCCGGCTCCCTGACTCTCTTCGCTTAGTCAGGGACCACTTCCTCTTAGTTTGCCCTACCACACTCACCGTTGACCTCCTCGAGGAGCGCCTCCTATCAACAGAGAAGAGCATAGTCTCTGTAGGAGCCTCTCGTGGTGACCCTCGCACCCCCGTCTTTGAGGGGTGTTCCCCCTCCCCCTTCTTGCCCTCTGTTGCTTCTGCTGCTGCCGACCTCGTTGGTTTTACGGGGTTGGCGCTGCGTCTGCCCCGAGCGGGAGACACCGCACCGGCAAGGGCAAAGGGGGCAAGGGAGCTGGAGGAGCTAGCAGGGGCGGTGGAGGTGGTGGGGGAGGCAGTGGAGGGGGTGGGGGTGGTGGTGGGAGTGGTGGTGGGGGTGGCGGCGGCGGTGGCAGATGTGGAGGCGGAGAAGGCGGCGGTGGTGGCGGAGGGAGCGGAGGCGGCGGAGGTGGCGGAGGCGGCGGCGGCAGTGGAGCTGGTCGCGACTCTGCGCAGAGGAGTGGGTCCGGTGGTGGTCCGCGCCAGCAGCAGCAGCGCAGTCATGAGACCCTGTCCCCTCAGCAGCTTCGTGAGTGGTACGCTGCGCGTCAGCGCGGTGGGGGTACTGGTCCCTGCACTTACGTCCTCCGTACCGGCGACCGCGCTGGTGAGCACTGCGGGGGCCCGCACTCCACCCAGCGCTGCTTCGGCCGCCTGACGGACGCGTGGCGTCACCCAGTTCCCTGAGGGGTCAGAGATCCCTCGCTGGGGAGATCTGTCTAGGGCGGGGGTTGCCATCTTTGATCTTGACTATGATGTTATTCTTGCTGCCATGTATGCTATGTCTTCTAGTGTTGAGGGTGACTGTTACCTGTGTGTTCCGCCTGACCCGGGAATAGAGGCTGCTGCTCTATGTGAGAGTACAATGGCTTATGCCAGCTATGCTTGCTTGCCTTTACTTTATCATGCTATTTCTAGCATAGGATAATCATATGGATGCATGAATTGCTTGATTTCCTAGGCTAGGTGCTTTCATATATTTTATTATGGTTATAGCACCGAGCTAAGTTGCGTGCACCGAATTCTGGCCTTTTCGGTTGCCACCGAATTGCCATCTACCGAATTCAGTAAGGATCTGTTCAGGACGCTACTGTGACAATTAGAACGAGAATGAATGAACTATGAAATGTGTGAGTACAAGTACCAACCCTAATTGGGTTGTACCCCCTATGGGATACCCCACTATAGCCTACACAAAAGCATAAGCTATATGTTCTGACACACCCCCATAGGCAAAGTGGGGGAGAACAAGGGGTCACAAGACCAGTCAAGCAAAACAAAGCAAAGCTCAGGGTGGATCACAAAGTCACCACTCAGTCCGAGCACAAGGTCAAGGCCACAAGGCCAGTTCACATGCAAGACGAGACATATATATATAAGGCTAAACAAGCAAGAGCAGGTATATATATATATATATGCAAGATTACAAGCAAGGTCAAGAGGTGAGCAAGTGAGGTAGGACAGATACAAGTCCCAGCTGAGTGCAGAAGCGCTGATGATCACAAGGCGGAAGTGCCTTGGTGAAAACATCAGCAGTGTTGGCCTCAGAGGCCACGTACGCAAGTCGCAACTGACCACACTGCTGCAGCTCACGAGCAAGGAAGTAACGGAGAGCAATGTGCTTCGTTCTGTGCTCCAAGCGCTGCTCTCGACACAAGGCCAGCATGACCTTGTTGTCTACGTACAGCACTGGAGGAGAACGAGGCACCTCTCCAAGGTCAGTCAGCAGGTAGGTGAGCCAGCGAAGCTCCTGTGCAGCCATGGCCCCGGCGTAGATCTCAGCCTCACAACTGGAGCCGAGAACAGAAGACGAGCGAGTAGCCCGCCAAGAGACAGAGCCAGAACCAAGACTGAAGGTGTACCCCTGCGACGACCGCTGCGTAGCCTGGTCGTCAGCCCAAGAAGCGTCTGTGTGACTAGTGAGGACCACTGGACTCCGCCCTCCAAGCACTAGACCCATGCCCGACGTACTGCACAAGTAGCGCAACACCCTCTTCGCTGTAGCCATGTGCTCTGGTCGTGTGCAGGTCATCAGGTACATGAGGCAGCCAACAAGCTCTGGGTACGGGCCACTCGACTCTACGGACTCATCCGAAGGCAGAGCTAAGAGCGAGTGGTGAGTAGCCAGAGGAGTGGCGTGAGGCGAGGAGTACGTGAAGCCGAAGCGCTGAAGGACCTGCTGCACCATGTGTGACTGAGTTAGGGTAATGGTGCGGCGTGCTCTGTCCTGGGTGATCTGCAAGCCAAGGTAGCTACGCTGTTCACCCAGGTCTGTGCACGTGTGTCTCTTCTGCAGCTCGGACTTCACGTAGGCGAGTCCAGCAGTCTCCGCTGTGGCAAAGACTAAGTCGTCGACGTACACGTGGATGTAGAACGGCGGCAGAGAGGTGTCGGTGCGCAGAAACAACAACGGGTCAGCAGTAGAGGGAGCAAACCCAAGAGTCGCAAGCGTAGTCCTCAGTGTGTCGTGCCACTCACGCGGTGCCTGGCGGAGACCGTAGACTGGCCGTCAGAGGCTCCACTGGGTGCCAGGAGGGAAAGTCCCAGTGAAGCCAGGTGGACGGCACAGCCAGATCTCCTTGTGCAGGCTACCCTGCAAGAAAGGAGTGCTGAAGTCAAGAGAGTGAAGCTTGTAGTCGCGGTGAGCGGCTATGTGTAGCAGCACCCGAAGAGTGGTCATCTTCGGGGTGGGAGAGAAGGTCTGAAAGTAGTCAACTCCCTGCCGCTGACTGAAGCCACGAGCGACGTACCGCGCCTTGAAGACAGGTGGAGAGCCCGGCGGCCGCTTCACCCTGAAGATCCACATGCCACTGACGATGTTCGCCCCAGGAGGGGGAACCGCGTCAACGTAGGTGCCTGTGGACTTCTAGGAAGCCATCTCTGCATCCATAGCTGCCTGCCACTGAGAGGAGTAGGGACCCTCTACGGCCCCCGCGTAAGAACGCGGAGTCGGGATGTCTAGTGCATCCGGGTCTCCCTCAGGGGCAAGCAGTACAGATGCAAGATGAGGTGAAGCAGCAGCCAGACACTGGAACTCCTCCTGCCTGTCCTCAAGGACGTCCGTGCCAAGAGCACACTCACCCCCGACGGACGGAGGATAGACAGACGCAGACTCAGCAACAAGGCTAGCAGCGTAGTCTAGACGACAGCGAGCAGCAAAGTCGACGAGCTCAGCGACAAGAGCAAACGCAGCAGTGGACTCAAAAGAGGGGTCAGTGACAACAGTAGCAAGAAGACGCGTGACAGTAGGACTGGCAGCACGAAGAGAGTCCGACTCCGGGTCGGCAAGCGCAGGAAGAGAGGACTCAGGAGGAGAAGGCAAAGGGGCACGCAGAGGAGCAGTGGACGGACGCAGCGACATCCGGTGTGTGCCAGGGACAGGAGGAGGACGCTGACGCGAACCGCGACCACTAGCGCGAGCAGCACGAACAGGCGACGCGGGACGACACGCAGGCTCACGACGCTCAGCAAGACCTCCAGTAGGACCAGTGTAAGGAGAGGGAGCAGGCAGTGGGGAGGCCGGCTCTAACAGTGACGGCGACTGGACAGACGGCGGACACTCTACAGAAGGAGGAAGACCAAGAACATGCTGCAGGAGCGGAACGAAGTACGGCCGAGGCCGCGCGGGGACTCCAGACACAGCAGGGACAGCACCAGCACCCTCAGCGGCAGCACCAGCGCCAACAGCACCTCCAGCGGCAGGACCTCTAGCAGCACCAGCAGCAGAACCACCGTCAGGACAGACAGCAGCAGTCTCAGCACCAACACCCTCAGCAGCTCCAGCTCCAGTAGGACCCGAAGGCCCAGCAGCTCCAGGACCGGCGGCACCAGCACCCTCAGCAGCCGAAGAAGCTCCAGCTCCAGCAGTACGTCTCCAGCGGCGAGCAAACCACTCGCGCAGCTCCTGTGGAGAGAGGGGCTCCCGCCAAGACGGAGCACCAGGAGAAACTCCAGGCCCAGCACCGCCAGACGCCACAAGGGGAGGTCCAGTGGCCGTAGGCTCCTCACCTCCCGGATCAGCAGCTCCAGACGCAGCCCCTCCAGGCTCAACACCCTCTCGCGCAGCACCCCCAGACTCAGCAACCTCAGGCTCGTCACCCCCAGGCTCAGCACCCACGCGCACAGCACCCCCAGGCTCAGCACCCCAAGGCTCGTCACCCCCACGCTCAGCACCCACGTGCACAGCACCCCCACAGTCAGCACCCCCAGGCTCAGCACCCGCAGCAGCACCAGAGTCCACATCAACCTCGACCGGCTCGACTGCGTCTACCTGGGACACACCTGAAGGGGCAGGAACCTGAGGGGGGAGGGGGTCTACCGGGGGGGAACCTGGCACAAGGAAGTCCGGTGGCGGGGGAAGGGAAGGAGTACGGTAGGAGAAGAGGCGGTAGAAGGGGACTGACTTGTCGAACGTGACGTCCTGGGAGGACAGAACACGACGAGAGGAGGGGTGGTAGAACTACCACCCTGGAGCGTCAGGGGGGAAGCCAAGGAAGACACAGGGAGCAGCACGGGGGGACAGCTTGTCCGCAGACAAGTCGCGGACAAACGCCCGAGATCCCCAGACACGTAACAAAGACGCATCGCCGACCTTCCCAGTCCACAGGAGGGCCGGGGAGGTGCGGACCTTCCCCGGCCGGGAACCCCGGGGTGAAGGTTGATCTGATCCGCCGCGTACTGTACCGCAAACGGCCACAGAAAATGGGGGGCAGCCGCATGCATCATGGACGTACGAGCGACGTCCATGACCATGCCAATGCGGCGCTAAGCAATCCCATTTTGCTGTGGAGAGTCCGGAAGCGTAAAGGTCTGGCGGATGCCCTGTGCACGACAGTAGGCTCGCAGAAGGCCAGAGGAAAACTCTCCGCCTCGGTCAGAGTGCAGACACAGAAGTAGAAAGTCCGAGCCCAAGCTCCTCCTGAGCTGGAGACGAGCTGCGCGGATCCAGTCGATCAGCACCTCAGTGACATCACCCTTGGTGCGCAAGGGGAAGACTGTGGTGAAACGCGAGTAGTCGTCAACCACCAGCAGAAAGTAGCGCTCGTGACCCTGTCCACGGACGCGGGCCGGGCCCCACACGTCCATGTGAAGCGTCTGCAGAGGAGCCTCTGTCGGAGGAAACTGTGAGGAGTGGGGGGCAGCCCGGAAGCGCCCCTCGATACAAGGGACACAGGAAGGTCCTGGCCCCGAAGGAAGGGGAGGGAGAGACCGGGGAAGACCAGAGACAAGGACACGGGAAGCCATGTCCCTGAGACGGGGCAAGGAGGGGTGGCCAAGACGGTGGTGCCACAGGAGAGTCTCGTGAGACAGGAGGCGACACGAGCAGGGGGCACACTCACGACCAGACCTGGACGCAGCAGCAAACACCTGACCTAACGCAGCTACCTGGCCAGACACAGGGACAGGAGGAGATTCAGCGGTCAGGGTGTAGAGGCTCGACCCCGGCCGACGGGAGAACGTGGCTAGGTGCCGACCTGTGCGCGCGTCCGTTCAGTGGGTCACCCGCTGACTCGCAGGAGTAAACTGGTGAACCCCCGCATCCTGTAGGGCAGCACCACTCACCAAGTTTGTCGAGAACGAGGGGAGGTACAGACCAGACAGGGCGCCCGAGGGGGCAGCTGGACACGGTAGGACAGTGGAGAAGTGAGAGAGGACAGG